TATGTGAGTTAGTTAATGTTGTTATTTTTGTGATGGAATTACTGAATTATCGTGAATTCTGTTGAAAAAAATTTTTATATATTCTGATACTGTATACTTACAGACTAGTGTATTATAATGACATATATGAGTTAGTTAATATTTGTTATTTTTGTGTTTGAATTATCGTAACTTCTGTTTAAATAAAAAAAATATTTTGGCACTATATACTTACGAACTAGTATAATGTATTGTAGTGACGTATGTGAGCCAGTTAATGTTATTTTTGTGTTGAATTATCGTGACTTCTGTTTAAAAACAAAATTTTTTGATATGGTATACTTACTCACTAGCATAGTGTATTGTAGCGACGTATATAAGTTATTTTTTGGCTGGAATTATCGTGCTTTTTTTTAAAAATAATATATTTTGATCTGTATACTTACACACTAACATAGCCGATAGTATATTGCAGTGACGTATGTGAGTTAGTTAATGTTTTTATTTTTTGTGTCTGAATTATTGTTGACTTCTGTTTTTTTTTTTTTAAAAAAAAAGTACTGATACAGTATACTTACGAACTAGTATAATGTATTGCAGTAACGTATGTGAGTTAATTAATGCAGTGTTATTTTTGACTCTGGAATTGACATAAGTTCTGTTTAAAAAAAAAAAAAAAACCGATATAGTATACTTACAAACTAGCATAGTGTTGTAGTAATGTATGTGAATTAGTAATGTTGTGTTATTTTTTGAGTTGGAATTACCATGGCTTCTGTTTAAAAAAATTTTGATACAATAACTTACAGGCTATCATGGCGACGTATGTGAGTTAGTTAATGTTATGTTGAAATTATCGTGGCTTCTGTTTAAAAAATATTTCAATACAATATACTTACAAACTAGTGTAGCATAGTGATTGCAGTGACGTATGAGAGTTAATTAATGTGTTGTTTTTTGTGTTGGAATTATTGAGACTTAAAAAATTCCGATACAGTATACTTACAAACTAGTGTAGCATAATGTATTATGAGTTAATTATGTCGTGTTATTTATGTATTTGAATTATCGTGACCTTCTTTAAAAAATCTTTTATAAAAAATATTCTGATACAGTATACTTACTTACTAGCATAGCGACGTATGTTAGTTAGATGTGTTATTTATGTTGGAATTATCGTGACTTCTGTTTAAAAAAAATCCGATACAGTATACTTACTTACTGGCATAGCGTATTTTAGTGACATATGAGTTAGTTAACGTTGTGTTATTTATTGTGTTGGAATTCTGTTTAAAAATATATATATGGGCTGCTGTCAATAGAAATCAAGCAGATTGACATTTTAAAAAAATTAACTTTCACAACTTATATCTCGATGAATTTTGAGGCTATTTTGATGAATTAATATTTAAAAGAAAGTCTAGATCTTAAGCTTTCTTTTTAATATTATACCATCAAGATAACCTCAAAATTCATCGTGATATAAATTATGAAAGCTAAGGGATTAAATGTCAATTTGCTTGATTTCTATTGACGACAGCCCATATGTATATTTTGATACATTATACTTACTAACTATCATAGTGTGTTGTATGTAATTTAGTTTAGGTTGTGTTGTTATTTTTTGAGCTGGAATTATCGTGACTTCGTTTAAAAAAAAATACAGTATACTTACAGACTTGCATAATGTGTTGTAGTGATGTACGTGAATTAGTTAATGTTATGTTATTTTTTTTGTGTTGGGATTATCGTGGCTTCTGTTTAAAAAAAAAAAAAAAAAAAAAAAAAAAAAAAAATCTAGTATACTTACTTACTAGCATAGCGTATTGTAGTGACATATGAGAGTTAGTTATTATTGTGTTGGCATTATCGTGGCTTCTGTTAAAATATATATGTATATTCTGATACAGCATACTCACTTACTAGCATAGCGTATTGTAGTGACGCATGTGTTGGTTAATGTTGTGTGTTGAAATTATCATGACTACTGTTTAAAATAATAATAATCTGATACAGTATACTTACTAACTATATTATAATAACATGTGAGTTAGCTAATGTGTTTGTTTTTTGTGAATTATCGTGACTTCTGTTTTAAAAAAAAAACAAAAAAAATTTGATACAATATACTTACAGACTAGCATATGTGATGTAGTGACATATGTGAGTTAGTTAATGTTGTTATTTTTTTTGTGTTGGGATTATCGTGACTTCTGTTTAAAAAAATATATATATTCTGATACAGTATACTTACTTACTATAATAGTGATTGTAATGAGTTAGTTAATTGTTATTTATTGTGTTATATTATCGTAACTTCTGTTTAAAAAAAATTCTGTTAAGTATACTTACTTACTAGCATAGCGTGTTGTATTGACGTATGAGTTAGTTAATGTTATGTTATTTTTTGTGTTGGGATTATCATGACTTCTGTTAATAAAAAAAATTCTGACACAGTATACTTACTTACTAGCATAGCGCATTATAGTGACGTACGAGAATTAGTCAATGTTGTGTTATTTTTTGTGTTGGAATTATCGTAACTTCTGTTTAAAATATATATATATTCTGATATAGTATACTTACTCGCTAACATAGTGTATTGTAATGACGTATGTGATTAGTTAAAGTGTTATTTTTGAGTTGAAATTATCGTAGCTTATGTTTAAAAATAAAATATTCTGATACAATATACTTACAAACTAGTATAGCATAGTGTATTGAGTTAGTAATGTTGTGTTATTTTGTGTTGGAATTATCGTAACTTCTGATTAAAATATATGAGCTGCCGTCAATAAAAATCAAGCAAAAATTTTTTAAAAAATCAATGTCGTAACTCTCACAGCTTATATCTCTATGAATATTGAAGCTATCTTGGTTATTTGATAGTCAAGAGGAAGTTTGAGATCTAATCTTTCCTTTGACTGTTAGACCATTAAGATAATTTCAAAATTCACCGAGAAATAAGCTATGGAAGTTATATTATTAATTTTTTTTTTTAAAATGTTAGTCTGTTGATTTCTATTGGAGGCAAACATATATATATATATGAGTGCCGTCAAAGGAAAACCTGTCAATGGACTTTCAATTATATTTTGTGTGCAGTTAGTCGCTTATGGAAATCCATCATTGAAGACGGCTAACTGTACACAAAATATAATTGAAAGTCCGATGACAAGTTTTCCTTTGACGGCACTCATATATATTCTGACTTTAAATACTCACATACTGGTGTAAATGAATTATAACATTTATTAGTAAACATGAATTTTAAAAGCTATTTCACAATACCGATTTTAAGTGTATATTATACTTACATTCCTTTAACTAATTCATGGGCCTCAATTACCCATGCACCATTTGGTTTAATTTTTAGTAATTTCTCAAAGTCTGCAAGAGATTCTTTATATTTTTTCACCATGTAATAAATCTCTCCTCGATATCTTAATGATATTGTATTATCTGGTTCAATTTCCAGTGATTTATTTAAATCTACAAGTGCCTTTTTATATTCTCCCATAATAAAATATATTTTTCCGCGATAGTTCAATTCAAATACACTATTTGGCTGGTTTTCCAATGATTTTGTTAGCTCATTAACTAAAACCGATAGCGTTATTTCATATCGGCCTATAATGGGATAAACCTTTTCTTGATATTTTAGTGAAAGTGCATTATTTGGTTTATCAATATTGTCAATATCGCAAATATCTTCATTTGTCATTGCTATTTATATAATAAGTGCCTATAAGTTTACACACATTCAACCATATAGATATAGACCATATAATTTTAAATAAATTTACCAGAATATTTGAACTTTCTATGACCAAAATTTACTTCTACAGACCCATATGGAGATCTTAGCCCAATGCAAGGATATAGCACTTCATTCAAATCATTAGGTAAAAAACACGCAATTCCTTAAATGTGGTACAGTATAGAATATTATATTCCTATGTGATTGCTTCAAAATTATTAAAATTCACTTTCAAAAGATACAATTACCCAAATTTACTCCATTTTTAGTGTAAAATACTATCTTATTTCGGAAATTTAAATAGCATCCAATGATATCATTAGTAGTATATGTCGGCCCATAGGACTCCCCATTTCCAGAACTAAAAGAATATCCATCATCACCATGATAACTCCATGAATTATTTTCCTGTCCTAGGGATATTGTGACATATATGTTAAGCCCATAATGATTAATGAAAAATAAAATAAAAGTTATGTGTTTACCGGGCATGAGAATTATATTTAAATTATCGGATTTTGTACTTGAACTAACTGTTTCTATACTTTGCTTTGTGCAAAATCCGACTCCAATTATTCTTTTAAAAAATAGAATCAAGATTATAAGCAAATTATAAGAGCAAAAATTCTATTTACAAGTTTAACTGATTATTGATATTACCCATTTTCTCCTTTGTCTATAATTTTAACTTCAAAATAGAACAATCCGCACTCTGGAGGAATTGGATTATTTGCTCGAATTACTGTTGCAACTTTATAGTCATCAGGCCCTTTTATTTTTTTAAAAAAAAAAAGTAATTAACATCGGATTACATTTTATACCCGTATACAGTCGCACCCCTAAGAGCACACCCTCTAAGTGCAAGTATTACAATATATAAATGTACGATACAGCTTGGCCCAACTTATAAGAGCCCTATATACAGTCAGACCTCCCTAAATACGACTCCTCCAAATGCATGTCACCACTTGGACTCAATGAATATAATGTTTATAGATTTTTACCTCACTAAGCGAAATACCTCTCTAAATGCATGTTTGACTAAAATTTTTACATATGGTCCCGTCGCAATGCATTTAGAGAGGTCTGACTGTATTTTACTCCTATAATTGCAAACACTATGTGCAAAATTTTAGTTTTTTTTTTTCCACTATGATCCCGACGGGATACACTCAAAGAGGTGTGACTGTAACCAAAAAATTTTATATCATTTGTTTTGTGGGTTAATGATAAATCTATTAAACCCACTAAAAATAATTAATCATTCACCTATATATTTCACACTAAGTCTATCCGCATTTATGCTCACAAATGATGATTCATCTTCAAAATCAAGCGCAGTCGGCAAGAGAATATTATCGTGTGAAGCTGATTCTTCCATTTGAAAATTATTATGTGAAGTTGATTTTTCCATTTGAAAATTATGATTGAAGATTGTTCGTATTGCAAGAAAGTCTAAAACCCATAACCACCCTTATAAGGGCAGTTACTGTTTCATGTAAGACTGTATTAATGCCAACTGCTATTTGGGGATGTGTAGGCCAAATTTTGCATAAACCATTTATAGCATAGAGCATAATTTGATTTGTTGGTTAAAAAAAAAAAGATCGTCGTTTATATCAACCATAATTTTGTATTTTGTACTGAAATTTGATTCGTCAGAAAAAAAATAAAATAAAATTCTTTTTAAAAAAAAGACGTGTACACTTAAAATTTGCACTTTATTTTATCACTTAGCAAAATAAGACCAAAATAAGGCCATACAAACTTAATGATTCGGTTTTCATAACCCGGCCGGGTCAAACCTTACAAATTTTTTAAAAAAATTTCAT